GCGGGCGTGGCCGCCGGCTTTGGGTCTATTGTCTCCCAGCTTCGCGGCGAGGCTCCGCCGGAGACTGCAAACTACAATTCCCAGAATTCCCGGCCGCCCGGAATTCCTGCTGGGCTCTGCCAACAGGGGGCGCTGGGCACCTCAACCTTTCTGCGGGCCCTGGGCGCCTGTGGACTGTTTAGCTTGTGATGATACTCAGGGATGCCGGCTAAGCATCATGCTTTTAAAATGCTTAAGTCTTTAAAAGTGTGTTTTTATTGCATTTTGTACTTTTAAATTGCGGTAAAATACACAACGTGAAACTTGCCATCTTAACCACGTTTAACTTTAGGGTTTAGTAGTATTAAGTACATTCACTCTGTTGAGGAACAGCCACGCAGACCTTTTACATCTTGCCAGTATGAAGCTCCTACCCCCTTGAAATTCCCCTTTTCCCCTCCCCCTGGCAGCCACCCTCTGCTTTCTGTTTCTAGTAGTTCTTGGAAGGACAGCACTTGTCCTTTTGTCTGGCTCACTCACTCAGCAAAAGTCCTCAAGGTTCACCCTTGTCACAGCACCAATCAGGGTTTCCTTCCACTGTATGTATATGCCGCATTCTGTTTATCCGTTCATTGGCGGTCAGAATGGCACTTTTATCTTATTTGTTTATTAAGAGAAAGTTTATTTAGAAAGTCACAGAGGTAGAAGAAGTGAGCCATAGAAGAAATGGGCTCAGGAAAGAAGGTACAGAGGCAAAAGAGGGGCTCTTGGAGCTTAGGAGAGGGAGGGAGGGGGAGAGAGAGAGAGAGAGAGAGAGGAGAGAGAGAAGACACCCTGGGGGAGGGGTGGGCAAAGGCAGGGGTGCTCCACAGAGAGAACCTTGCCCAGAGTCTCATGTGTAAATGCATAAAATAAATGCGTCGAATGATAAAGGAAACTTTATAATTTATTAGGGTTGTCAACAAATTGAAAGAACAATCTGTGAGGCAGTAACACACGCATTTCTCTTTGAATGCAGCCGGTTACATGTTTCAAACCTAGAAGCTCACTGTTCTGTGCCCAGACTTCGGGTTTTCCTGTCACCTAGTTCGAGTGATGCTTCTGTGCATGGCCCGCCGACTTCATTCCTAAGGACACCACGATCACTTACCCTCCATCAAAGATCCCTACAAGTAGAACTTTCTGGAAACAGCTCCATCTCTGCTTAAGATTGCCGCTCAGCCTGTGCCGCTTGCGGTGCCATCCGCCCTCTGGGACCAGGAACCATCTCCCCTCTCGCCAGCCGGGAGGACACCACACAGAGTCCAGGGACGATGGCGCGCCTCACCCATATATTTCCCAAAGGCGACAGGTCACCCCTGGCAAGTCACTCCCTTTGGATTCTTCCTCCCAGTCCTGCCCGGGACGGGTGGCACGCCCGCCTCACTGAATGTAGGCCACCGAGGGGTTGAAGCTTCTACCGGCCAAGCCAACTGCCGGAGGCCCTGCCCCTGCCCCAGCTGCCTCTGGGTGCCGCTCATACCTGTAAATCCGGCCCAAGGCGGTGGCGTCATCCACCTGGTTTCCCACCGATGGAAATCAGCAGCATTTGACTTCCTTTTCGAGTGGAAGCTATTTCCTCCAAGGTCAACGTTGCTCTTCAGCCCTGGGGCATGCTGGGATCTGACCCCAGTTCAGGGGCTGAAGGCCACAAGGGGTGGAGCCTGTAGGAGGGTCCCTCAGGTGAGTGTGCAGAAGGGACTGCTCCACCCGGGTGCCAGGTGATCGTGTGCAGGAGTGCACCAGGCGGGGCGCCTGCGGACCCTCTAGCCTCGCTGTCCTCTGGAAAAGGGGGGAGACACGTCCTCACTGACAGGGTCCCCAGGAGGCTGCAGCGGCGCCCTGGGTACCTAAGCACATTCCTCTTGCCTGATGCTTCCCCGCAGCCACTTGTCCAGCAAGACCTGATGAAACAGAGCCTGCGGAGGGGGGGAGGGGAGCTACGGATGGGGAGCCAGCGGTGGGCTGGGCGGCACCGGGAGAACCCAGCTGGTCCCTGGTCCCTAAGGGATTGAGCCCAGGCAGCACAGGTCCATCTCGTCAGGGTGAGAGGTCCCCACTAGAGGGCACCCGGGAGGGAGGAGTGCCTTCCACCAGGTCCTGCCCGAATCCTGCCCAAGCCCCAGTCACTTCTTTCTGCACCCCCTCCCCCGCCTCCTCTGGGCCCCCGCCCCTCCTTCCTTACTCTCAGGGCCTCCCCTTCCCCTGGGCAGCTTCACACCCTCTACAAAGGCTCCGCTGTCCCCGCCCCACCCCCACAAATCTGTCAATCTCTCCTGCTCACACCTCCCCCTGACCTTGCCTTCCGCAGCTGGGTCACCTTGGCCTCATCACTTAACCTCCGCGTTTGGGAAGATTCTTTCCCGGGGCGTCACGGGGGCTTTCACCCGAGAGCCTGGGTGCGCACCCCCCTTTTGCTTTCTCTTTCTTCTTCCCTCTCCTTTCCCAAATGCTCTTTCTTAACCCCACACCCTCCTCCCTTCCTTCCTGCTGGCTCCAGCTGGGCTGCCCACAGCCCTCCGGGGCTCTCAGCACCCTAACAGTGCCCTGGGGGCAGGGCTGCAGGCCTCGCAGGCTGGCACCCCATCCAGGCCTGTCCTGAGGCTCCTGAGGCTCAGGCCACGTGGAATCGGAGGCCAGGTGACCTGCGTCCTGCTGAGTGTGCTGTCCCGGAGCCTCACCTGGAGTGACCCTGGCCCCGGGGACAGGACAGGCGGGACAGGACGGGACAGGCAGGGCATGGGGCTGGCTGGCCCCATTTGTCAGAAACACAAGCCTTCCCGGCCAGGCCAGGCCAGGCCACTGGCCTAAGGAGCCGCGGGTGGAGACCTTCCCACCCTGGCTCCCCACCCCAGCAAGTCGTGCCTTCTCCCAGGGGGGCTGAGGAAAAGGGGGGCCCCACGCCAGACCCCTTTGTTGAGCACCTGAGCAGCGGGGGCTCATGCACCGCAGGGAGCTCTTGGTGACTGCGTCGCACCGAACAAGAAACAGGGTCAGAGCTCGACCCCGTCCAACTCCCAGCCCCCATCTCCCCACCTGCTTCTTCCTAAAAAGTGTGAACTATTTCAAATACACGGAAAAGTACCGAGGGGAACAGAATGCACCTCCAGGCCTGGGAATCTTTTCACCGAGCTCTCTTCGTCTTCGTCTTCTCAAATAGAGGCTGTGCTGTGGGCGTCGGGACCCTCACCCTCCGCGCCTCTCCCTGAGCCCCTGCCACCGCCGCCCAGCCCTGCGCCGGGCACGCTTGCCCTGTGTGTGCTTTCACATCCTGCCCTGGGTGTCATGTCCCCACAGGCTCGGCCACCACCTCAGTGCACAGCCCCATCCGCTGTCGGCCAGCAGCCGTCACCCCAACCAGCACACAGGACGCTGCCATTCCAGGAGGCTCCCTGTGCCCCCCCAGCTGCTACCTGCCCCCAGAACCACCACCCTGACTGCTGTCACCAGACGTGGGCTTTGCCTGGGAGCGGGGCCTGAGCCAGAGCGAGGGAGTGCGCCTCTGGGCTCAGGTTCATCCAGGGACCAGGGACCAGGGACCAGCCCTGCTCTTCCCCAGGCCGCCTGAATTCCACCGCATTCCTCTGCCCGCCCTGCCCCGGTGTCCGTGTCCGGTGGCTTCATCCCGGGGTGTCCTTACACTTCACAGCCTGCACGTGGGTGCGCGGCGCTTTTCTCCCCAGGGACCTCGCCGAGACTCATCAGAGCAGCCACCTGGGCCCTCCTGGCA